TGCATGTTAAGTTTTCAGTGGGTCAGCTGATCTGTCTGACCACGTATGCACACAATCAGCAGTAGCAGTCCTTCAAGTTCACAGCTCTGAAACTGGCCAGAGCAGATTGGGATGATCTCTTTAGCCAACAGCTAATGGCACCAATGTAATTAAATTAGATGGCTGGAACAGAGTAACATGCATGTTGTGTCAAAAAAAAGCTACATGGAAAGAAAATTCCATCAAATGATTTCTAAGCTCACAAAAAAAGTCCATAGAAGGAGAGAATCCATATTCACGGGGCAGCAGTCCAATTATCTTTACACTTAAATTTTCTTTCCATAGTTCCTGCTTCGTTCACCCAGTACATATAGCAAACTGCAACAAATAAAGTAGAAGTCCTTCAGAAAAATATTTAATTCATCACATGACTACAGGTTTTTTTCCATACACTGAATAAAGCTGAAATCCCTTGGGGAAAAAGCAGTATGTGGTAGTTAATGATATTTTAATACAGGTAGACAAAAGAAGGCAAATTAACTTTAAATAATTGAATTTGAAACCAGAGAGGTATTTCCATAGAGGTTTCTGTATCTGCCTACTGAGAGCTTAAATAGGCAAATCCAAATTCCAAAAATTTCATCGTGTCGAACTAAAGTGGAGTCAGGTGGCAGGGTAAGAGTAAGAACACTTCGGGCATGTTGCCATGTCAGTTATAGAAATTGATTTTTAAATAACTCATAATTTTAAAAAATCTTTTACATCTTGCTAGAGAAAATATATAAACATGCAGCTTAGAACCATAAAAGTGGCCCAAGTCCATTAAAAGTGATAGACTTTCTATTGACCCTAGGTCAGGCTCCATGTGTATAGAGCAATAGTCTCAATATACTGTAGCAATGATCTTTCTTTCTTTTTTTAAGCACTTCAACAAGCAAATACGTATTTTAAAGAAACATATCTGGCATAATAATAGTATACAAAACTAGGTTAATTTGCTTCAACGACTTCTGTAATTATGAAAAACAAATATGAAGACACAGAAGGAAAACAATTACCTCCTTTTTTAATTGTTATTCTGCTATGAATAATCATTCTGTTGCTGTCATGTTCTTCACATTGTGGTATTTTAGGGAAAAATATCTTAAGGTGACTTATCATCTTGTGAATTGGCAAAACAGTTAATGTTTTAACAGTGATGCATAGACCAACTGCTTCTTTTTTGTTTGTTTACTACATACTGAAGATATCATGGTTTGTTTCACAATACAATCACTTTCAGAAAGTACATTAAAACTTATGGATATAAATTAGATCATCAATTGAGGGTTCTCCTTGTTTATGAGGTAACAACTGTATCCTGTGGAGGTGTTTATTAGACCCATTACACATACAGTCGCTACCAATTTAAGTGGAAGCATGCTCAAGTTTTTCTTTCAATACCAAAATGTCAAATAAGAAGAACTTAATTTCACAACAAAAACTCTCACACAAAATAGATGAAAACAGATGAAAAATATTTATAGAAGCATGTGCACCAAGCTGAATGAAGTGGGAATATTAAAAGCATTAGAGAATTGTAACTAGCACTCCAATCAGTTGCAGATGAGATTCTAGTTTTAGCGTAGTTCCCAACACTAGCATCAACGATCAATAGGTTGGAAAATATATATGTGTTCTAGCAGTCTTTGCATTAATTTTGTTCCAGAAAGGAACATGGATAAGAGATTTTGCCTATGAAGAAATGGGTGATAAAGGAAAAAGATATTGGTACGTAACGTCATAAAAATCAGATAAAAATTCACACTTTGTGCATGAATTGATTCCTCATAATATCACACTATAATTACATATTCTCAAAACACAGTGGTTTTAAGCTCTGTGGAGAATTAATGGTATTTTAACTCTAAACTTGGCTGTAAATCACACTATGCAATCATCTTAAAGTAACAGAAGACACATACTAATATCATACACTACCAACTAAAACAAAACAAAAAAGCAATGGGCCTAGAGTCCATTACCTACTATCCTACACCAACTGTGCCCAAGACTACCTACAAGGAAGGATGGTCATTACTGAAGTCCTCTGCCAGGTGTTTCGCTCTGTCTCCCTGTCTTTATTTTCCTCCAATAGGTTACACGTCTTCTTGGTTTTTCCCCCCCTCATTTGTCATTCCCAATTGTTTGATTTTCCCATAGTGTTTTCTCTTTAGTCTACTGTCCTTCTTGGAAGGAAACTTTGTTTATATAATAGAGGGACTGGAAACCAACCTCAAGGCAAAAATCAAGAGCAGCTGCCTCAGGCAGATACCATGGAAAGCATCTAAAACCAAAGCAAGCATACAGTAACTACTTCCTGAGAATGTTCCCCCAGAATGCAACCATTTGCAGCTCTCAGTCTCCCTGAGCCAAATATAAATTTAAGTTTTTCATGCCTTTTATTCTTCTTAGATATTTCATCCAGTTGCTTACTGAATTTATGCAAACTTCCACCATCTACATCTTACTGTATAGATGTCCACAGCTTAATTACACACGGTCTGATGTTTGTTTGATATAGTAAAACTGGAAAGGAAGTTTGATTGCTGGAAAGAAGTATTTAATGGACTCTTTCTGCTAGGAATATCTCATTTTTCTCTCACTGGATTTTTTGAATGTTTCATTGGAATAGTTCTGTATTAATTAATTTAGGTAAAGAGTGGCTTATACTTTGCATATAGAACTTCTCAGCTATATTTTCCATTGCAACATGCAAAATGCTACTCTGCAGCAGTTCACATCTGAGGGGTGTTACCTCCTTACAACAGCATGATATTAGTTCCTCTCTATTTCAGTGAACCTTCATGTTAGAAGGTTATTTGCTTTTTTTTAAAAATATTTTTGAAATCTACAAAACCTTGATGCAGCAGGAGACACTACAAAATATATCCAATATATACATAATACATATATCAGATGTTTGTAGTTTGGTCCATAGACTGATAGCTTCATACTGCAGTTCTAACCTGTTTCACTTCTGTGCGTTGTAGACTGATGTGTCGCTTGATTTATTAAAAAAAATAAAAATCAAGAACATGTAGTAGTGAATAAGTGAAATGAACAAAGACAGTAGTTATAGATAGAAACATTAAAGTTTTTAAAAACACTTTTACTGGAAATTATCCCTCAACGAAGACAGAAAAATTTTGTTTGCTGTTTTGTGGGGTTTTTTTTAAAGAAGCACTATGGATTGTTTCTAAAGGAGCAGTAGAAGGGGTAGTGAAAGACCATTTAATTATTTTCTTTTAAATCTATTTTGAAAGAAAAAACCATAATTATCATGTTTGGAAAGATAGGGAAAAATTACCTTTTCTTTGTTTCAAGAAAATTATATCTTTATGGGCCTTTAAAGTGGATAACAAATTGAAAGGAACACCCTCTTCCCTCCCAAACACACCTATCCCCTACTCTACTCTTTGATAGAGCTAAAGAAAACAAAATATCTTTACGTTAAATAACAATGCTCATTAAAAGAATGCTCTTTTTTCAATTGCACATATTATTTTTTGGTCTTGGAGGGAGGAACAGAATCTCTAATTTGGTTCAGCTTCACTATATTTTCTTATACTCTGAGGTAACTGATGAGATTCAAACATTTATATTTAGACTATATTACCAGAAACAGCTGTTCCCAGGAAGGCTTCTACTTCCAAACCAAACTCACTAAAATTCAGGGAGGATCAAGTGATAAGAGGTTCTTTAGACATTCTCAATCAATAAGAAACCAGTCGTACAAATATTCCTAAATGACTGACCCTGCTGATATACCTGTGATACTCACTCTTCCTTGAAGTTCCAGGTCTTATACTCTTGCAAGAAACTTTGCAAAGTTTCTGGCTAAGATGCAGAAAAATACTCAAAATGTGATACTAAAGCTTGCAAAAGAGAAAGCAAGTGAACAAAATCTAAAATTTAAAAATAATAATAAAAAATCAGCTCTTAATCCATATTTTTAAGTGCCTGAAACCTCAAGGTTAGGACTCCAGTAGCCTGTATATAGTTCATGAATGCAATTAAACAGAAATCAAAGGGAGTATTTATATTTCTCAGTCACATGCATGGTCAGCTCTCTTCTGTAACCTCTGGTCTTTACAGAAGTACATACCTATCATCTTTGAAGTTGTAATAGTTATTAAAAATGCCCAGCATAGAAACTTGCAACATATTTACTAGCAGTTAAATGATATTCAATATTCCTTGCTTAAGTTTGAGCCCTAACAAACTTTGAAGTAAATCCACACACAAACTTGGACGGTTTTCTCCTAAAATTTAGCGGGATCCTTCACTGTGTTTATGTGGAAGGCTGTAGGCCCTATTCACATCTGCAGTCCCGCTACTACAGCACTTATTTTTCCCTTAAATAGCAAGAAACAGTCCTTGCAGCGTGACTTTTGGAAAGGACCTCGAAAATTGTAGTTCCAAGCCGTAATACAGCTCGTACCCCGCAAGGGCGCTCCCCCACACGAGAAGCCCCGGGAAGGGGGCACCACCCCAGCGGACCTCGGCCCCCTCTGCCCGCCGCCGGGGCCGCACCCCGCCAGCTCCTTCTGCCCTCGCCGGCGCCACAGCGGCTTGTAGGAGCGGCTTGCGGGGCACCAAAGCGGGCACGTCCTCAGGCATGAGGCGGTCGGCGACCGACGCCGCCTCGGACCCCACTACTCTAGCGCACCGCACCACCCAGCGCCGCTCCCTGCCGGGCACGCGCGGGACCGCCGCCCGTCCGCCGCCGCCCGTGAGCCACACAAGCGCCCGCCGCCGGGGCGGCTGCGCAGAGCCGGGCGGCGTGGGATGGGCCCTCGCCAACCGCCCTCTTCGCCACCCGCCCCGGAGGGGCCGCGGGGCGGAGCTGCAGGGAAGCGGCCGCCCGTGGCTGCCTTCGGCCCCGTACCGGATCTCGCAAGGGCGCCCGGGCGTTGTCGCGATTCCCGCCCGCCATCCTTTGGCCTTCTGCCTCTTCGCCGCGCCGGCGCCGGCCGCGGTCTGGGCGGCACAGACCGCGCCCCGCGTCTTCTCCCGGCCGCCTTCCGCGCAGCCCCGGCGGTGCGAGGCATGAAGCTGAGCAAAGCCCAGTACGATGAGATAGCCCAGTTCCTGGGGCACGTGCAGCCCACCCGGCAGAGCCTGAGGAAGCTGAAGGAGAAGTTCCCTAGGTAAGTGCTTCCCGCCCTTCGGCGCGGGACCCCGGCGGCGGCCTGCGGGCTGGCTGCTGGCGGGCGAGGGGCCACGGGGGCCGCTGCTCCAGCCCCACCCGGTGCCCCAGTTCTGGCCCCACACGGTACAAAATCACCAGGACACGCACACGGTCGTCGACGGCAAGCGACAGCTCGCTGAAGCTGCTGCTGGGAGCAGGGTACTGCTCACCCACCGTGACCTGAGGAGTTGGCACAAAATAAAGCAAGCTTCCTCCCCGACCCTGCCACACGTCCAAGTGAAAGCTTTCGCGTCCCTTCATGAGGCTCTTAAACACCAAGTAGGTCTTCTGATGTGAATGAAACCTTAAGGCTCGGGCCGTAACTCTGTGGCTGAGGCCAAGGGTGGAACACATCTTGCAATACCACTGCCCCTTTTACTTAGGCAGAAGGGGCTTTCTGGACCCATAATTCACTACCTGTTGCTACTTTGCAGTTGAAGGCTGGAAAAGGGGTCATCTTGTGACATATGGCCATTCATCTGCTTCCATGCCTGAGTGTTCAGAATTGTCAAAAGCATTTGCAAATGACTGTAGGCTAGCATGGAAAGGTGCACATGACAGGATGTGCTCTATGCACCGATTTCATTGCCAAAATTTGCTTACTATCAACAAGAGAGTTGTAAGGGAGGTTGCAAGGCTTTTCACGTTGTTTTGAGGTTTGGGGGAAGGATTACTAATGCTGAATTAGAAAGGAAAGCAAAATGGGTTTTGGGGGGAAAAGAGTGGTGCTGTCTCTAAAATCACCACAAATAATACAGAAAAATGTAGGGGTTTAGGTGCTATGCTTATTTTCACGAGAGAGAAATAAGTAAAATAGAAAGTCATTCACAAACTTCGTGAATGAGCCTTGCTAGTCTTATCGCAAGTGTGGCAGAAGAAACTGACACTGTAACTTAGAGTAAGTGGATGAGGAGCCGACACTAACTTAGGCTTTGAAGTTGTCCAGTGAAATCTTTTCATTTTCGGGAAAGTGTGTAATGTAGTTAAAAATCAAGCTGAGGGAATAGCCCTGTTATAGAGAACAAGTGATTGTAAAAAAATGTGGTTGGTTTAGGGAGTGCATTGAGTTGCATTGTTGGGAACCCAGCTCACCTTGCACAGTACTTCTGCAACTTGGAATCCACTTACTGTGACAGCATATGTCTAAAGAACTTAGATTTGGCTTTACCACTTTGGTACTAATGAAATTAGGAGTAAGTGTTTATGTATATTTGTGTGTGCATGCAGGCATTACACATATGCATGCACATGTTCTCTTTTTCTAGTCTCCTTATAAAGCTGTCTTGAAAGAAGGTTAGACTTTGGGTTCGTTTTCCAGGTCAGAACCTGCTGCCAAGACAGATCCATAAGCACATGAGGGTCTGTAATAGGGAAAACGAGTTTGTCAGAAAAAGACCAGGCCTTTCTGATACGTTTTACTTCCCAGTCCACACATTTGATACTGCAAAAGATCTGTTCAGTCCTCTGTTTCAGAACTTGATGACTCCTGAAAAACTATGTGCAACTAACATTGTAAGATCACACAATCAAAGAATATTCTGAGTTGGAAGGGACCCACAAGGATCATCGAGTCCAGCTCTTAAGTGAATGGCCCGTATGGGGATTGAACTCACAACCTTGGTGTTATTAGCACCAGGCTCTAACAGGGTCAGGGTTAGTTAGGAACAAAATAACATTTTTTTTGTAAAGCAGCTGGTGTGGTGAGCACTGAAAAGCAGAGATTAGCTATAGTAGTTTCTTCCATAATTAGCTGGCTTAGCACACTGTTTTCTTGTTATTCACATTATGTTATGAAAATGCCCTCTTTTGAATTCTGCTTATAGGCCTCTCCTGAATTTTGTTTGCCCATCCTGGCAGAAGGCTAAAATCTTCTATTTGAGTGATGAATTAATTGATAGCTTTTTCAAAAATGCCTGTCTTAAGTGTATTTTGAGGTCTACATATGTCCTTTCTGTGAATGGTTCAGGAAGTGGTATTTCTTTGTTGTCTCTTTGTTTATTTCTCATAGCAGGACAGATGCAGAAGATAATACTTTCCAAGGTCACTGCCTGCCTTAGCAGCAAGGGAGGTGTATTAAAATAGATTCATGTTATAATGTATAAGGCATTCTCTGTAACTGTTGTCTTGTAAAAGAGGCCTGCTGTAGAGATTTGTAAACTTGTGTGCCATCTTAAAGGGGAGGCTTTTTCAGTGATGTGTTTTATAACTGTGAAGTAATTTTCTTATAATCTAGAACCTTTATCATTCTCTTCTGGAATGAGAAGGGTCTGATTGGACTCTTTGGCTGCTTTTTTTTCTTTATGAAAGCTAGAATCAAACAAGCAAACCCCCCACCCACCTCAACTTTCTGATTCAGTCTTTTTAAGAAAGTATTCCAGAATCTGTCATGGTACTTGCAGTGTGATGAAGGTGTCCATAGCCTTTTTGTCATTATTATATGGTAACAGTTGCCGATTCAAACTGGAAAGTACTAACATCCGTTATAGCTGCTTTCACCTTGCACTTTCAATCTTTTCCCGGGAAGGATCAGTATTCCACTGGTAATGCAATACATAAATTGACAGTTTTCAAATATTTCTGGTTTCTGCTGCCTCATAGATCTTGAGAGTCTTTGAATTTCTGCATTTATCTGTTCAGTTTTTTTTCTAATACTGTCTTATCTCTTGGTTTCTCCCTTGGTTGTTGTGTTTCCTGAAGTGTCAAAGTTAATGCTCCTTATTTGTATAAAGTATCTTTCACGCTTTGTGAAAGGGCCTGCTCTTGTTCTGCAATTTGCCCCTAAGAATAAGTTGTAATTTCCATAAAACGATTGCCACAATTCAGTATATAGGTATGCTGTGTGGTGGCTGCCAACCTGACCTGTGAATCTAAATAATTTTTTAACAGGGTAGTTTGTGCTTTACTGTTGTTGAACTACTTCAGCAGGTGAGATTACTACTTCAAAAGAGCATTGTCATGTGACTTATTAATGTCAAGAAGTCAAAATTAGACTACTTCTCATACTGTTTATACAAGCATGGGGACTTTTTTGTTTTACAACCCTGTAACATTACAGTCAACGTGCATTTAATTTACTTGGCTTAAAATCCAGTTATTTTGCAAAAACTTGGGAATCAAGTTGCTGTTCTTTTTCTGTTAGTGCAGTGCTTTGTATTCCATGCCTGGCAATTACCAATGTATTATTCATTTCTTTATTCTTAAGGTATTTGTTACAAGCTTAGCAGTTGTCTTCTAACAGGTTCATGTTTAACAGCAGGATATTTGGATGACCTGAGGATTATCAAAATGTAATTTTGAGTACTAAGCACAATAGATCTCTGCCAATATTCAATCACTGATCTGTAGTTCCTTTGATCTTTTTAACACATGTTATGTTCAGTGCTTTTCTGAAGTGTACCACTTTTTCTTCTTTGTTTCTTACCTGAATTTATCTACTTGCTAATAATTGTAGTTTTCTTTGTTACTTTTGTATTTTATTCTTCTGCTTTCTTTTCAGCTATGCACTCGTGTTCTTCTGAGATACTGTTCTTCTCAGTGAGACCTAATGTCTAAATTGAATTACCCATTGTAGGGCTGGCTATAGGAAATGTAGGGTATTGCAGGAAATGTTCTGAGAAAGTTACAATCTCTTTATATTCAATGTTTGTTTATATCTTAAATGGTAGTTAGAGCTGCCTGCAAGTAGAATCCTGTAGATAAGAATCACTTCAGCCCTAACTATTTATAGTGACAAGATGTAAGTTAAACTTTTACCTGTATTCAAAGACTATTTTAACTTATCCTGAAAAGTCCAGCTTCTAAGGGTTCATACCCAAACTGATATTCTAGTACTTTGGTTTAGTCGTTTACTGTTTAGTTCCTGTTTTAGTTGTTTCAATTCTTCTGTATATGGAAGAATATATTGTTTCTCTCAGAAACCTTTTCTAAAGCTTCTTACCAGTAGAACGTGATTGACAAATGACTGGACCCTTCTCGTATATATACACCTTTTACATATTTTGCTGCTCTTCTTTGTATCAATTCTGATTGAATATTACAGTTTCCTTGATTGAATCTTCCTGTGACGTCTACCAAGTTTTCTCAGGGTGAGAGCTTTGCTGACCTTATTCATTATGATGCTATCTTGGCGGATTTCTTTATGTGAGTTTTTTTCTGGTTTGGTTCTGTTCTGAGCATTTGAGTTTCTAACACTAGATTGTGCTTGAATTGGAGATTCCATAAACTTTCTTATGGTTCAAGTTGTCTCAGTAGCCCTGTGCATCTCTTAGTGATTCCAAAATCTATATGCTTGTCAAGTTCTTGCATTGAACTATTGTGAAATGTATTTCAGTGCATTTAGAAGTGCTGTATTCTTCCATAGCACAGTTTGTGTAGTCCTGTATTGTTTATCTTCTTTTCTTCAAGTTGTTAAACTAAGTTGGTGCCTCCAGCCTAACTTTCCTTTAGGTACCTTCACTTGTGTTCCTATAAGAGAGACATTAGTTTCTGAGCCTGTTTGAGTGCAAACTGTTACAGAGATTTTCAAAGTACTAGGATTTCAAAGTATTAGAACTTTTATCAGCTGCTGTGTGCAGTTCTTCACTTTTCTTCTGTGAATCTATTCAGAGAAATACTGTCCTGTTTGTGTTCCTTCTGTGAAAACTTACTTCTGTATGATCAGGAAGAGCCTTTTTTACAGCAGAAAGATAAGGGAACCTGGCATAAATGTAAGAGAAGTACTTTTTTTTCCTTCTTCTTCATTTTTCCAGTAAGCAAGAGGAAAACATGATGCACAACTTCATACTGATATACTTGATATTTGAATATGGATATTTAGTTTTAATGTATGCAACTTCCTGTTTGATTATTGTAATGCACACAGTCATTCCTGGAACATATCAAGAGGTTCACATTTCTCTACATTTGTGACCTCTCTTCTTCATTACGTAGTATCACTTCAGTTTTACACACATTTTCAGT